AAAGATCGGGAATGCCTCTGAGCAGCTTGCGAACTTGGTTCCCAGAGCCTCCACACCATCAGAGGATAAACCCATTCATGGATTTGTAGAGCGGTGGGCCTAGTGGTAGGAGGGTCGCTGGGGATGTGTCCTTAGAGGTGACATCTTGTTCCCAATCCTTTACCCTCACTCGCTCCATCCGGCTTCGCAGCTGCTGTGTGGGACGAGCGTCTCTGCTCCACAACACCCTACCTTAATACGGACGCCAGGGATCATGGACTAAGTCCTCTGACATCTTGAGCCAAGGCTTCCTCCTTCAACTTGATCTCAACTATTTTGTCATAGTGTTGGAAAGCTTACAGAGATTCTAGAGATCCAGGCATAAAGAGATTTAATGATTCTTGTAGGGCCACACAGTTGTCTTCTGGAACAATCAGTAAGAGATAATCGCCAGGAGAGAAAGAGCCTTTGTTTAAGAACCTGCAATCCAGAAAGACCAGTGGGTGGCGCCAGAGTACACCCAATCTCCTGTTAACCAGCAAGACCATGGACAATTTTTGCAGGACCCTCTCAAGCAAGATGGATTCCATTTACAGGCACGTAGAGGCCTCTGCGGCACAGTCAGGCTGCTTTGGAAGCTTTTGAATGTTCTTCTGGAAGTCTTGGATCTCCTTTGCTTCAGTTGTCAACTTGACACAAACCTACAATTCACCTGGAAAGAGGAAATGTCACCGGAAGAATTGTCTTGCTCAGACTGGCCTGTGACTGTATTTGTGAGTCATTCTCTTAATTGCTACTTGATGGAAGGTCCAGCCCACTGTGTGTCATGGTGTTTATCACATCAGCAGAATAATAGCAACTAAACCAGAAATCCACTGGGCCAACTATGCAAAGTAAAAACATCTGTTCTTCTAGGAAATGAAGGACTAGAGCCTTGTTAATTCTGAGTCAAGAGTTGAAAAAGATAATATCCACTGAATATGAGGTTGTAGACAGATTTTGAGACAGATTCTCACTATGTAGCCCCAGCTGGCCTCCAAATCAGAGATCTGCCTACCTCTGCCTCCTGCCTGCCTTGCCTCTGCTGCTGCCTCCTGCCTCTGTCTCTGCCTTCTTCCTCTCCTGCCTCTGCCACCTCTGCCTCCTTCCTCTCCTACCTCCTGCCTCTGCCTTCTGTCTGTCCTGCCTCCCTCCTCCACCTCTACTGGGACTAAAGGCATGTGCCACTAGGCCTGACTTAATAGACTCGTCATATTTAACAAGCTAAATTCTCATGATCCCCCCTCCCTCTTCTCTCCCCCTTCCTCCTTTTCTCCTTTTCTCCCTCCTCCTCCTCCTCCCCCTTTGAAATAGTGTCTTGGTTTACAGATCCCCGGAGGCTCCCACTTCTGCTGGAAGTGAGCTTCTTACCATGATCAGAAGGGTGCGCTCTGAGGATGCCCCTGGTCCTTCAGCCTATTCATGGCTTTGTCTTCCCCTCCTTCCCGTGATTTTGAGTTATGGACTATGTAATTCACCTTTTCTTTCTTTTCTTAGGACAGAAAGTGTTTGTTGAGAGTCAACCACGCTACATGCTCAGCGTGGCCCCTTTACATCTGTATCGCCAGGGCCTGGCACAGTGAATGGGCACATTGGAAACACCCTGACAGACATGCGCAAGAACGACAGACTACTAAGTGAACTGCTGGCGCGTCCTCACCGCCCAGCCTAGGCGACCCTAACCAACCGCACTGGGCATGCTCCTGGAGACCCGCCCCTTGAAGGAGTCATCTGTGACGCTGGGAATTCAGCCGACTAGAAGCACCCAGAGAGCAGCAGTCTGTGAAGTCATTCCAAAAGGGAGCTGCCTAGTTAGCTCTGACTGCCCACACGGTTCCAGCTGGCAGCCCTGGGAATGGCCGGGTTTTCAGCAGACAATCACGGGGGAAAGCTGGCAAACCGAGGCCATGCTGTAGTGAGGCTCTGTAATGGCCCAAAAGTTGGACTTCACCCTCACTTTGGTACCAGTAAGAGGGGTTAAGGGGTGAGCTAGTGAGTCCTTCCATGTTCCGTGTTCCGTGTTACTCCGAAGACTTCCCGGTGATGTCTCTCTAAAGGTGAATGATGGCCTGGGGACACAGCTTCAAGGCACTGCACTTGACTGCTTGCACCAGGCCTTAGCTAGAAGCAGCTGAAATGATGGTCACAGAAGAACTGAGTCAAGCAAATGTGGCCATGGAATAGTAGTCGACTTCAGTAAACAAAGAAACCCAGCTATTCTTGACAAGACGCATGAACCTGGAACACATTATGCTAAGTCAAATGAGCCTGTCCACGGGGACAAGTGGCAGGAGTCTAATTATAGGAAGTCTCTAGCGGTCCCAATGCTTAGCATCCCTGAATAGTGTGGCCGAACCTGAATCTGGGAGAGAAACTTCAGTGGACACAAAGTTTCAGTTAAGTACTATGACCAGTTCTGCCGTCACCCTGCCTGAAACAGAGGTGAGGCTTCACGTGATAGGTTAATGAAAACCAAACCAAACAAACCCGAAACACAAGGGAATTCTGGATATTGGTGGAGGTGTTTAATGACTTGCTGGTTTGGGGGTACCAGGACTAGATTTTATGCAGAAACTCACCAATATGCATATATTAAATGTGTGTATGTTTCTGTACATCGATCACACCCCAGTAAGGTTTAACACGCACAAAAAAAAGGAAAGCCATGTAATAAATTTCAACATCTCTGTAAAAATACTATAAAGTCCTACTTATAGTTTGAACAAATTCCAATAAAAACCTGAGCTGTACGGAGATCTTGGGAAGGCAAAATGGGTGTGTGTGTGTCTGACCTGACAGTCTGCGGCCTGGCCTACGCCGGGAAGCTGGATGAGCTGACAGAGAGCGTGTTGGCCCATGAGTCTCTAGCTACTAGACCTGACCAGGACAGAGCAGCATTGCTTGGTCGTTCACAGCTGGTCATCCAGATGTTGTTGAATTCCTGCTGCACGTCGGAGTGCCAGTGGAGGATAAGATGGCGCAGGCTGGTCTCCTCTCCACATTGCTGCTTCTGCTGGCCAGGAAGAGACTGTCAAAGCCCTTCTGGTGAAACGTGCACAAGTGAATGCTGTCAATCAAAATGGCTACACTCCCCTCCGTTATGCAGCCTCAAAAACTAGGCATGAGGTTGCTGTCATGTTACTAGAAGGTGGGGCTGATTCAGATGCTGAGGACCATTATGAGGCTACAGCAATGCACTGGGGAGCAGCCAAGGACACTTAGCCTGTGGTGAGGGGAGAGAGGAAGAATCAAAGTTACTGGTGACCCAAGGAGCAAGTATTTACATTGAGAATAAAGAAGAAAAGACTCCCCTGCAAGCGACCAAAGGTGGCCTGGGTTTCCTACTCAAGAGAATTACAGAAAGTGAAGCAGCTTGGGTTTATTCTTTATGCTTTGCTGGCCTTGCTGGCCTGGAAACTGTTGTATTGTGCATAAGGCATCTGGAATGAAAGAAAATGTTTTCTCACCTCCATAGCCTTAGAACATGCTGTGTTGCTCCCTCTGAAGTATCCGTTCTAAGCTTACAACTCGCTTTTCAGGCACTGGAAAACTGTTGGGATTCTTTACAATAAAAGAGTAATTTATTGTTCTTCACTAAATCTTGATTAATTTGGAGTAAGTGGTCCTGCGGCTGTTATGAGTCCTGAGTATCCTCCCATCTGCCTGCTGTCCTGCTGTGGAACCGAACAGTGCAAAGACAGGCAGTCAGTTGTCCTGTCTAGGTGGATTCGCACAGGCGAAGCAAATCCTGACTTGCTTTTCAAATTCATCAGAGACCTATGCCAAATTGTTTTTTTTTCAACTATGAGGTAAATTTATTTTTGTTACGGGGGGAGTTTTGTATTTTAGTAGACCAACTTTTAAGTTGAAGTATATTATATGTTCCTAGAGTAATGAGGAACAAGAACAGTGGCCTATGTGCCATGTATCTTTTTGACTAGTCATTTTCCTCCAAAATAAGACACCACTTTTTTCAAAGAAATAAAAACTCACCTTGTTTTGAAACAAACAACAAAAAAGTAAAAACAAAAAAATCTGAGTTGCCTAATTGCAAATACTGAGAAAACTTGAGGAATGACAAGGGTGGAGAGTCACACTGTCCTGTGTAAAGGCTGGGAGAGGGCTATGGGTGTTAGCTGAAGATGTGATACATTTGTTTGTGCTATGGAACATTCACTTAATGATACAAAGATGTGCTGCGTTCTTTCATGTTGCATTTGTTTAACTCTTTGAAGCTGTGTTACTTTGCCTGTCTAAAACACCTGATCAATCTAATAAAGAGCTGAATGGCCAATAGCAAGGCAGGAGGAAGGACAGGTGGGGCTGCCAGTCAGAGAGAAGAAACAGAAGGAGAAATCTGGGAATAGAGGATTAGGGGAGCGAGAAAAAGAGAAGGAAAGGAGGACTCCAGGGGCCAACCGCCCTTCACCCAGCCACACAGCCAGCCGTGGAGTAAGAAGTAAAGAAAGGTATACAGAATAGAGAGAGATAAAAGTCCAGAGGCAAAAGGTAGAGGGAATAATTTAAGAAAAGCTGGATAGGGCTGGAGAGTTGGTTAAGAGTGGTTAAGAGCACTGGCTGCTCTTTCAGAGGTCCTGAGTTCAATTCCCAGCAACCACATGGTGGCTCACAACCATCTGTAGTGAGATTTGGTGCCCTCCTCTGGCCTGCAGACATAGTGCAGGTAGAGCACTGTACCTGATAAAAATAAATCTTAGAAGAAAAGAAAAGCTACATAGGCAGTAGCCCAGCTAAGCCCGGGCACTCGTGAGAAAGACTAAGTCTCTGTGTGATTATTGGGGAGCTGGGTGGTGGGCCCCCCAAAAGCCAAAAGAGAAAAAAAAAAGACCAACTACAGAAAAGAGCAATTTCTCAAGTCCCAAGCACCATTTAGAAGCAAAAGTAATAAAACTCACTGTAAAGACCATGCTCAGCTGAACAGCACAGAGCTGGGTGGGACAGCCTCGCACTGGTGCCCAGATGAGCAGCACAGAGCTGGGGTTGGGAGAGCCTCGCACTGGTGCCCAGATGAGCAGCACAGAGCTGGGTGGGGAATGGGAGAGCCTTGCATTGGTGGTCAGTGTCTAGATGACTTCATATTTATTCACACACACTTGCACTTGCACACACACATAGGCACATGTGCAACACAATACACATGCACACACATGCATGTGCACACACAGTTAAGGGAGGGTTTCCTTCATCTTGCAGAGGGCGTACAGTCCATCATGGCAATGTGATAGCCCTGGGAAATGTGACAGTACTGACAGCATTTGTGTGTCAAAAACTCCAGCCCACAAAGTGGAAGGAAGTAGTAGCTCAGAGGAGCCAACATCTTAAACTATGAGAAACGCTAACAACGGTGAAAACACCACAAAGCAACATTTTACAATTAAAAAAAGAACAGATATTCTACAAAGCAGTTGCGGTGATTGTCACTCTGAAGGTACCATTTTTTTACAATAACTTCTCATGAAGTACAGTCAAAAACACGGAGAGAACCCACACTTGTTAGAATGGCTACGAGGAAAGAAAGAACCGTAACATTGGTAGGGAACCTGTGGAGATCGGAGCCTTCCTACACTCCTGGAGCAAAGACAAGGCAGAGAGCTAAACAGTTACCAGGAATCCAGTCTCTAGGTACGCAGTCAGGAACTCTCACAGAGTTCCCATGAAAGCGTTCATATGAGTCTTGACTGCAGCCAAGTAGCCAAAAATCATAGTTAAAAAGAAAGGATGCAGCTGACTGAGGGTGGGGTGGGAAACACCAATTCTGCATGACGGTGCGCTGGGGGCACATTCTCAACATGAACTCAGAAACGTTCTGTTTATTGAAGTAGCCAGACACAGAGAGGCAGCCTTCCTATAAAAAATGAAGGCATTTCTATGACTGGCAGGTGGGTATGGAGAAAGATGGACTGGAACCAGGTACCGTTTCTTTTCAGGGAAATGTTGTGTATGTAAAACTTACTATGTCCTGGGGCTGGAGAAACGATGGCTCAGGGGTTGGAAGTACTGGCTGCTCTTCAGAGGACAGGGCTTTGATTTCCAGGACTCACATGCTGGCTCATCACCATCTCTAACTCCAGTTCCAAGAGACCTGATGCCTAAACCAGTTTCCAAATGTGAGTTTATGAAAAATGAGTTATGTCATGTTGTAGACTGAAGTTTCTGTTGTTAGGTATTTTGTTTTAGACAGGCCTCTTCGCCAATGCAAATAATTCCAATCAGACTGAATTACACCAAATTAAAAGACACCCATGTTTAATGCAATGCTCCTGGGTGGCCCTGGGAAAGCATGGGGAAAGGAAGAGAGAAAAGGGGAGACCACGCGGAATACAGAGACCACGTGTTCATTCTCAGGAGGACAGTTTAAATAGTCTGTGGGAGTGGTTTTGACCTTCCCTGGGTAGGGGTTACTGTTTGGCAGGCTTTCTTGACCCTCCCAGGGGAGGGGGCTTACTCCAGGAGCTGGGGTAAAGCCCCCAGGCAAACAATCCAGACTTTTTCTATAAAGGGGTGTTAGGGACCTGGGGTGATACTTTTGACCAAACATTTCAGACTTTTTGGATAAGGGGGAACCAGTGAGCTGGGGTGAGGCTCCTCAATCAAACATTTTAGACTCCTTGGATAAAGGGACACCGGCTCAAGTCTGGCTGCTTCCTGTGGGCATGGGGCAACGTGGGAGTCAGGGGGGCTGGGAGTCGGTAGGCTCACACTCAGCAAGAGGTATGGCTGAAGCGGCATCCAGTTTACTGTCATCCTGGAGACCTCAAAATATATATTATTATTGGTCTTATGAATGGGGCTAGTCATGGGAAGAATCATTAACTGCCAGAAAGAATGGGACAGAGAAGTGCCCTGGTTGTACAGGTGAGGCCCAGGTTATAAGTGGGACACAATAGCAGATAAAACCATATTTTAGTTGGTAGGTGTCCTTGATCTAGGAGAGTTAGTACCAATGGTGAAGTCCCAGGAACTGGCGCAGATGTTGGCATTGTCTGGAGAGCACTTTGTAAGTTGGTCTTGGCCCAGACAGCAGAAGTGACCTTAAAATATGCTTAAAAATGGGTGGGTTTAAAATACACTCTGGAAACTTAGTTTTTACCAGATCTGATTTTTGATACAGCAGCAGAACTTTTTTCCAGGAACCTGCAGGTATCTGTAAGACAACTGGAGCAGGTTTACATCTTGGTGTCATAGCAAAAGGATATTGCTTTAGGTTAAAAGGTATGTACATTTTAGGAGACAATTAAAGGGAATTGGAAACTCTCAACCTCTGAAGTTACACCTGAAACCTGCTAGTCCTGGACTATGAAGCCTGTTAAAGCAGCACACCTGTCTGTACTTTAGCAGAAACCTAACAAATAAATAAGTTACCACTACCTTAAGTCATAAAATGCCATTAGACAGATCTAAGGGGGATAAATGAGTAGAAATGAGACAGCTTTTTAGCCACTCAGGCAATCCCAAGTCTCTCCTTAGTTCTTGGAGAACACCAGCCTAGAAGCAGTGCTTGCTGTTAGCTACTGAGTACAAGAGGCCCAAAGATTTTCCTGTGGGGGGTTAGATTTAGTCTATCTGTCTTGGCAGGCTGAGAAGATCGATTCCCTGGGTGGCATCCAGAAAGCTGAAGAGGTGGAAGGCTGTTTTTTGCTGGGCAGGTGTCTTTGCCAAACCCACAGGCAAGCCTCAAGGTGGAAGGTCTTTTGCAACCATGTATCTTCTTGCAGGAGCTATAGGATGCTGTGGCAGCAGCTGTGTCTCTGTGTTAGAAGCTCTTTTGTTAAATGCCATACTCTCAGATCTGTAAAAGCACTTGAGAATTGGGTACCTGTTGTATTTAAACTACACATATAAGCTAAATTTAGATATTTTATCCAATTAGTTGCAGCTTACCAATGCTAGTGAATGTAAGAAGATTAAAAGGAATATTTTTAACAAGTCAAGGAATACTAGCGTACACGGGTACTCTTACCCAAGGTGGTGGTGGGGTCAAAATGGAGGTTACCCACATGTTTGTAATTTTTCCAGAGTTGTTGTAATCTAGAGTTATAAGTTTTACAGATCTTAAAACACACACACATACACACAGAGAAATAAAGCAAACATATTATAGAGTGGTGGAAACACACCCATATACTCGCAGAGATATACCATGACCACATTATTCTAACAGACAAATCACTTTTAGGAACCTGTGTCAGCTGACCAAATTAAAAATCCTGGTGTAGGCAGGTGGAAGAAGCCAGGGAAGCATAGAGGTGGTCCCATTAAGGACTAGATTAGCAGATGCTGCAAGAGGAAACAAAAACAAAGACTCAAATGGGCATCGACCCAACAAAGAAAATCTGGTTTTATTCACCTGTGCCTCTCCTGTCCCATTCTTTCTGGCAGTTAATGACTCTTCCCATGACTAGCCGCATTCATAAGGCCAATAATAACAATATATGTTTGTCCTAGCTACCTGCCTTCTCATTTCCCTCAAGAAACAGCTGCCTGAGGTCTCCAGGATAACAGTAAACTGGATGCCGCTCCAGCCATACCTCTTGCTGAGTGTGAGCCCACCGACTCCCAGCTCCCCCCCTCCCACATTGCCCCATGCCCACAGGAAGCAGCCAGACTTGAGCCGGTACCCCTTTATCCAAGAAGTCAAAAATGTTTGGTTGAGGGGCTTCACCTCAGCTCACTGGCACCCCCTTATCCAAAAAGCCTGGAATGTTTGGTCAAATGTATCACCCCAGGTCCCTAATACCCCTTTATACAAAAAATCTGGATTGTTTGCCTGGTGGCTTCACCCCAGCTCCTGGAGTAAGCTCCCTCCCCTGGGAAGTTGCCTTAGTCCAAACTCCACCTCTAAATAAAGCCCACCAGATATGGTGATCCCTCCCCAAGGAGGGTCAAGAAAGCCCACCAAATGGTAACCCCTCCCCAGGGAAGGTCAAGACCACTCCCACAGGCTATTTAAACTGCCCCTCAGAGAATGAACACATGGTCTCCCCTTCTCTCTCTTTCCCCTTCCATGCTTTCCCGGGGCTACCAGGAGCATTGCATTAAACATAGGCATCTTTTAATTTGGTTTAATTCGGTCTGATTGGAATTATTTGCATCAGCAGAGAGGCTTGTCTAAGACAAAATACCTAATATCTGTCCCACCTGGCCCTACAGTTGTTTAGTTCCAAAGAAACACACAGAGACGTATATCAAATATAAACTGTTTGGCCTATTAGCTCAGGCTTATTATTAACTAGCTCTTACAACTTAAGTCAACCCATAATTCTTATCTATGTTAAGTCACATGGCTTGGTACCTTTCAGTTCTGCCTTTTCATCTTGCTTCATCTGGGTGGCGACTGCAGACTGAGCCTTTCCTCTCCCCAGAATTTTCCTAGTCTGGTCACCCCACCTATACTTCCTGCCTGGCTACTGGCCAATCAGTATTTTATTAAATCAATATGGGTGACAAATCTTTACAGGATACAAGAGCTTTATCCCACAGCAACACATAGTGTGGCGTTTTTGTGATCTCCACAGTGCATCAAACCAACTACTTATTTACTCGAGTCAGCAACTGAATTCCTAGAGGCGTCAGCGAAATGGCAAGTGGGAGACTGAGACTTTAACTCCCGTTCCAGCTGCTCATTGTGGATGCTTTTGAGTGGAAAGACAACTCATTTTGTTTGGGGGGGGGATCAGCTCCCACCTGCAAAACTTTGAATTCATTGTTATCTTTCCCATGTTCTGCAACAAGGTGCAGGGAAATGCCTTCATGGGGATGGCAGCTCATATTTCTGGTAGAAGCAGGGTTATTGGAATCTCTTCATCTCTAGGTGGGGAGCCACTGGGTCACAGCAGAGATTATGACAGCAGACCTTGCATTTTGATGTGTGTCTCAGTCACTGTCTATTGCCGTGAAGAGACACCATGACCAAGGCAATTTGTAGAAGAAAGATTTTAATTGGGGGCTTGCTCAGTTTCAAAGGGTGAGTCCACAATCCTCACGATGGGGAAAATGGCAACAGGCACACAGACGTGGTGCTGAAACAGCTCTGAGATCTTACATCTGGTCCACAAGCAGGAGATAGGGACAGAGAGACTGGCCTGGAGTGGACTTTTGAAACCTCAAAGCCCACCCCCAGTGACACACCTTCTCCAACAAGACCAAACCTCCTGATTCTTCCCAAAACAGTTCACCAACTGGGGTCTAAGCTTTCAACATATGAGCCTGTGGGGCCATTCTCATTCAAACCACCACAGTGTGCATTTAAAATACAAAGATCGAATATATAGAAATGCCTTTAATCTTCATCTTAATTTTTGAGACTTTCATATGTGAGTATAATGCATTTACATAATTTCTATTCCTTCCTCTCTTCACTCCAGCTCTTACTGTGTGTTCCCACCCAGGACCTTCCTCCTATTCAAATTCATCACATGCACTCGCACGCCCAGGAGGCCCGCTGCCCTTCAGCGCCACCCTGAGGGTTTGTGGACTGCTGGACTGCCAACTGGCTCAGAACTCGGAGCATTCCAAACCAACTGCCAACACGGCAGTTGCATAGATAGTTAAGCCTCTCCCTAACTGACCAAGTCCGGAGACAAGACTTTAAGCCCAAAGAAGCAGGAAGGTGGCTGGTTGGCTTCAGATGTCTCAGGAAAAGTCTTTGGACTCCCAGGGTCTTTGTTGACTAAAGTCTGACCTAGTGGCTGAGCAGGTAGACAGAGGCCGGGCTGAGAGCTGCCAGCAAGGCGCCCACTTCTTGCTCTGTCCTGTCCCAGCCTGTGCTGACAGTCTTCGTGGTCTTTTCCTGAGGCTGTTAGGAGGCTGCAGGCCCTGCTGGCACAGGTGGTAGCTTCCCTAGACTGGGGACTCAGTTTCCGGTGTGTCTTATGTTTGAATGTTTTAGTGTCTTTGCTTCTTAATCCGCAGTCTTAGGAAACAAACTCACAATGGGTGATTTTGGACACACAGGTGGCAGAAGGCCATAAGAAAGTATTATTTTTTCCAGGTTCCTGGTTCTTTTGTTCTTGACCTCCCGGGACCAGATGAGTCCATGCTAGACGTAGGAAGAAGAGTCTCCCAGTGTGCCATGAATTTAACGCACATGGGCGGAGGGGCTGATAGGAGAGCACAGCTCTTACTGAGAGGAGGCGATACAATGACCAAAGCGTGGGCATGATTGCTGCCTAGCGTGTACTCAGGTCCCACACGAGCCGTGTGACCCAGGGAACTGTCTTCAGTTTCTACTCTGTGATACTGGAATCCTCTTAGGGCCTACTTACTAGTGCTGTGTTGCGAGGTGCAACATAAAACCGTAGACAGAGCCTGAGGAAGAATGTCTGGTGCATTTGGGGTGTGCCTAAGCTGAATGCATCATGGGGTCAGAGCATGAGCCAGATTATGAGGTGGCTGTATCTTGCAAGAAAATGGGGGTGGAAGGTGTTACTTGGAAGATATGTCACCATCCAGGGTTCCCATGGGTCTGGTGCCTTGTAGCTTATATGGAGGATCTGTTATCACCACATTGACCTGCAGGGAGGGCTGTACATGAGTTGAGTAGTGGGTCGTGCCCACTGTTCCAGCTGGACAGGGGGTGATAGGCCCAAGATGTGAAGCATTGGTTCTCCTGAGCCCTCTGACCAGAGGCAAAGGCCTCCACTCCATTTCCCAAGTCAATCCCGACCAAATAAGCTATGCCATTTTCCCTCTGCAAAAACCAGGGCAGCCCACTTCCGATCTCTCTTCCCCAGCGTTTCTACCTGTCGGCTTCCTCCTAGAGGTCAGATGACAGCTAACGCTTCCTCTGGCTCCAAAGCGGCTCAGATCTCAGGCCTTTCCCAAACCACTTACAGAATGCTTTCACAAGGAATAAGCTTGGATTTAACTAGCCAGGCCTGGGTGAATGTTACTGCTAATTATTAGGGACAAAGTGACCCGATTGCCCCATGCCACAGAAGCTAGTAGAGAAAGCTGGCACGTATTCATGTGTGGTCCCTGCTGATCTGACAGCAGGCAGAGGCAGACCTGGCTGAGAAGAGAAAGCATCTGCATCCAGTCTAAGTGTGCTCCTTCCCAACCCCCTCCCTCTTCAGCAGAACCCACCCCACAGCCTGTCGGCCAGCCCAGGTGCTCCTCTAAAGAGTCACTTGATAGCTGCTGGACCAGACTGCCCTATTCACAGATTTCCTAAGCCCTGCTACAACCAAATGCCCACTGTTCCTCCTCCTCACCCCCAGCAGTGCCCAACAGAGGGATCACGCTCTCATCAGCTCCGTGAACTTCCTACCCGTGCCTCTCAAATTTCTTCCCTTTCTGAACACTCTGCCAGAGCGTCAATGGCTGGCGTCAGATTTGGCAAACCTGACCAGGCCCAGTTCAGTCTCTAATTCCCCTTTCCTGTGGTGTTTACTACTGATGCAAGGAGAACAGGGTGGCAATGTTTCCTCCCCTCAGGTCCCTGCCTTGTTGGAGAGGGCTTCATTTCTGCCTGAAATATTGGGTAGAATTCAGATGTAGCTCCCTGGCAGAAAGAGTGCTTCATTGAAAGATGCACCTTTCTGTTTTAACTGATGCTTATTACTCCACAGTATGACTACATATGGAATACTGGCCCCTGTCAGTTTATACACCTGATGCCGACAGTCAGGGTAGAGTCCTGATCTCGTTCAGTCACAATAGCAGTCTCCTGGTGGGTGAAGGAGTATCAGTGTCTAAACTGAAAGGTTACAAGAGTGAAATGAGTTAGGACATGCGCATTCTGAGCACAGTTAGCATGAGTGGGTGCGGCAGTTCGCTGGGGGGTGGGGCAAGGGGCTGATTTCAATGTTTCCCAGACTTTCTGCTGTGGAGCTGAGCTGCCAAAGCTTGGTGACTGTGCTCACAAAATTCACTAAGGTCTACCTTGTGTGGGCTGCTTGTGTTTTGATATATGTGTATTTATTTTTAACAACAATGAAAACTTCAGTTTTAAATATGCAATGTTTTTCTGAAGCTAGTTCTAAATCTATACAACTAAAAAGTAAACGATCACAAATTTAAATCTGGTTAGAGGACAAGACACGAAGATGGCCCCTGTCCTCTGACCTCAGGCTTGATGTGAATGCCTCATTTTGGGGACCTCAGGTCACTGCTCCCCCACATGTTGCTCTAGCATCTGTAACACAGACACAGGATCTTATCACCGGGGGACACAGAGGTGAGGGAGCAGGGGTACCTTGTGGGAAAGCTGGGTAGGAGTCCAGGCCTCAGCAACCCTGGCACCAAGGCCAGACTCCTTTTATCAGATGCGGACACTGTGGTTACTATAAATGGTTAGGTGTAGGGAAAAGCCTGGGGCAGGCAAAAGGTCTGGCAGAGTCTAAAGGCTTCAGCCACTAGGGGGACACTGTGTCATCTTTTAGTCTTGGGGAATGATGTAGAAGTGGGGTGCTGTTTTGTGCCTGGAGGGGCCCACGATCTTTTGACATCATCTAACTAGGTTGAAAACACTACTTTGTTGTACAATACTTGGGCTGTGCTAGGTATTTAGCAAGTTCTTAGGGCATTTCTGGGTAACTATGTGGGGAAATTCCACAAAAAAAAAAGGCCCAATTAAATTTCTTTTGCAGTCTTTGCTTAGGGCTTTGCCACCTGGAAGGCCTATTTTCAGAAGGGAAAGCACAAACCCCTCCAAGTTATGACCTGACAGCTTCTTACAAGCTCACCTCCCATCCTTCATCCAGGTAGATCTCTCCAGTGACAGTGGACTTGGCACAGCCGGAAGAGGTTTTTACAGCTTCAGGATGGAAAGCACTTAGCTCCAGCAGGCACCCAAGGAATGGGCTCCGCTGACTGTGATGGAGCCAGGGCTTGCACTGTGAACATGGACAGCTTCCAGCAGTTCTTTCCTCTTCCTGAAAACAGTTAATTTCTCCATTGCCATAAAACGTCATCTGTCTTTCAGTAGAAACAATTACTCTGTGGTAGTTTTTATATATATATATATATATATAATATATATATACTTATTTTCAGTATAATAATGCAGAAAATGCCACTTAAAATAGAATAAATCCAAGTATAAGCTTGGATTTAACTGACTAGACCTGGATGAACTGTTATATAAGCACACATAATTCTTCAGGGTCCTGCCCTCAACATAAGCCGAGCTGAAGCTGCCATGGCTTTGCTTTGTTTGTTATACACATATGAAAACTCTAAACTCCAGCACCTTCAGCACCACCAGGTCTTCCCCAGAGCCATCCAGGCTCCACTGAGGCTGAATACCCCAGAGCTCACTCACATCCCAACTGTCTGGGATGCCGCAGTGGCGCTCACTGGATCACTGGATCACTGGATCTGCTCAGCACCCGTGGGAATCGGCATGTTGGAGCAAGTGGACTGTCCTTCCCCAAGTAGCCCAAGAGAAGGTGGTCAAGGTTGCCTCAGCGCTGCTCAGCCCATGGAGTGTGCTCGCTGCCTTCACCCTCTCTCCTCCTAACGCCCTTCCTCCCTCTCCTCACATCCATTGAGGTCCTCACCGCTCTCTGGGGATTCCACAGAGAGAAGAAGGCTGATGAGTGTCCAAGGTCTCAGTGCAGACCTGGGGTGGGGTGGGCGTGTCCAGGGTAGCAGGACCAAGGCCAACTGTTGCAACCCACAACCTAGTTCCTCAGGATTGCTCGCTCCTTTGTTCAATAGTATGAAAGAGGTTAACACTGAGAGGAGGCTCTGGAGGGAGACATTTTTATGCGGTGATGTCCCCTGGACCTCAGCTGTGTGGACAGGAGGAAATTGATGGAAGTGCAGAAGGGGGTGGGGTGGAGCTGGTCCAAGAGGCCAAGAGGGGAAGGGACAAAGTGGACGCAATCACATGCTCTTTGTTCACCATTCACTGTCACCTTCTGAATGGCACAGAGCAGGGACACTGAAGGGTTTCAGTTGTGCTGATTATCTGGGGTTGTTCTTGAGAGTTTAATCCTCATACAAACTCTGCATTTAGAGAAATTAAAGATAACAAAGCCAGGACTAGAGGTGTCATGACTTGTTCAAACCCCCTTACTCGGCAGGTAAGGCAAGAAGCTGAAGCCATGACAGTGGGTGCTGGAGTCTGCACTGGTGCCCAGGGACTGGAAGGAGGGTGTATCTGACAGAAATGAGGGTATCGGAACTAGGGAGCTCGGTAGCACTGCACTTGGGGCACTGTGTCTCAGGACAGGGAAACTCTGTCCTGCTTCCCAGAGGCCAGTGACTGGCCCTTCCCACACTTTTCTGGGATCTTGCCTGGCTACAGAGGGGCAAGCCAGACTCAGGTCTCATAGAAACGAGCAAGTCAAGATAGGGTTGGGAGAGTGGTGGAGGCCCCCATGAGCTCAGGTTATGCTTCTCCCTCATTGCCCTAGGATTCTGGGGCATACACAGCAATCTCTAGGGGGACCTTCTCGTCCTTGTCAGTTCTGTAGGATCCAGAGAAGGAGCTAAGTGCATAGTGAGCAAAGGAAAAGATACATACCAGGGAATGGATAGATAGATGGGTGATAGATAATGGGGGGGGTCGTTAAATAGGGCACTCGAATCATCCATGTGTAACAGGAACTGCTGGCGGTGTCCCGCCGGCTCCCGGCTAGCTTTACCCGAAATAATTACACAGAAACTGTATTCTTTTAAACACTGCCTGGCCCATTACCTCCAGCCTCTTATTAACTAATTCTTATATCTTATGGTAACCCATAATTCTTGTCTGTGTTAGCCATATGGCTCAGTACCTTTTTCAGCAGGGCAAGTTACATCTTGCTTCTCTGTGGTCTGGGCAGGAATGGAGGAATGGGCTTCCTCCTTCCTAGCCTTCTCCTGTTCTCATTGCCCCACCTCTACTTCCTGTCTGGTTGACCCGCCTATACTTCCTGCCTGGCCAATCAGCGCTTTATTAAAATACATGACTGACAGAATACAGATAATTCTCCTGCACCATCCATGGGAGATCAAATTTGTGAAGTTGAGGCAGTAAACTGGAGTTACTGATTGAGCTTTCTCTCCATGACCTAACTTCCAACTTTCCTCCATTTTCTATTGCAGGCATTGCTTTGTTTTATCAAGACAAGGTTTCTCTGTCTAGCCCTGGATGTCCTGGAACCCACTCTGTAGAACTCACAAATTCACCTGTCTCTGCTTCCTGATTGCTGGGATTAAAGGTGTGCACCACCACTGCCTGTCTTCCCACTGCCGGCATTTTTTATATCATGAAATAAACAGTGGTAACTTATTTTGGAAGTGATTCGCCTTCTAGTTGTTCTTAAGGACACATTGTTTCTTTTGTGACTCTTTTGTTGTTCTCTGCTTCCTGAAGGACACAGTGTTGCTTTTGTGGCTCTTTTGCTGTTCTCTGCTATCCCTCACAGAGTTAGGGAGGCCAGTACATCCCCAGACAAAGGAGTCTAAAGGACAAGTTAAGGCAAACTTGCTTAGGTCTGAACTGAGGGGGCTACCTTGACTTCTAAAGCCAGCTTTTCAGCAAATTCAAACAACACAACAATTCATCAATGTCTTGCACCTCACACCTCTCAGGCCTGGTCTGTGCTATAACCTAGAAGTGCTGAAAGTTCCAAGGGGGTCAACTTCCCGTCTCCACTGGGCACATATGAAGGGTAAACTTCCTGTCTCCACTGGGCACATGTGAGGGGTCAACTTCCTGTCTCCACTGGGCACATGTGAGGGTCAACTTCCTGCCTCCGCTGGGTACGCTTGACGGGGAAGCTGTCCGCAGGTTCAAGTTTGTGCCTACGGAGCAACTCTTGTCACAGCAGATTTCTCTGCTGGGTCAACGTCCTAGACCCAGTTGCTCATGGCTTGTGCTGAGTTCTCAGAAGGTGCCACCAGCACATCTGGTTTGATGTTTGCTGGGGCAAAGGTGGGAAAGATATGGCCTCCCCGGAAAAAGCAGTTTTAAACACCAGAGCAAGGGAAGATGACTGTAGAGCCGGCGCCAGCACACTCCACGCCAGAGGCTATCGGCAGACGCAGGTGACAGGCAGACACTGGCACACATTTTCTTTTACTTCCCATCTTAATGTTCAGCCTTGGAAGCAGTGGGTGGCGCCTGATTGCTCGTGATTCTGTCTCCCCTGGGCCCTACCTGGAGAACAGGTCCCTGCCTGAGAGTCGTCTTTCTCATCTTGGAGTCACGATGCTTAGGCTCACACACAGAAGCAGCAAGTTAGTAGTGACCGGTACTCCTCTGCCTGTACCCGTTAAGATCACCACGGCTCGCACAACACCCTGGCTCCTTCCTCAGGACTCTTGGGTTCACCCCCCCACCCCAGGCTTTCCAGTCAGAGGTCTTTAACAATGTACTGCAAGCCATTGCAAACTTGAAGACGAGGGAGGGGAGCCAAGTCAGTCGGTGCAAATGTCACTTCCTCATGGCCTGCCGGCCTCGACAGCTCCGCCTCCAGCCACACTGCCCTGATGCTCCACCATGACAGACATACTTGGCATGAGCTTGGAAAGCAGGCCATGGCAGAAGTTGAGTCAGAGATGCCCGCAGGTGTCCCAAGCAAAGAGTGCGTTCTTGATCGTCAGTGGCGTGCAGCTCTATGGGGCATTTGTGATGGGGCAAGGGTGACTAAAGGATTAGACTCTCTTTAATTGCTCAAACACATTAATTACAAAGCATGTTCATACAGTGGCCATACTGGATAGCACAGGCCTCTAGAGTCTGAGGATGAGGAAGACAGGATTCTCTGTCCTGGGGCTTCCGCTGTGGAAGAGTTGGCTCCTGGGTAGGGATCTCTTATTTGTGGATATTCCCTGGGTACATGCACTCTGTGAGGCCCTAGGGGTGTTGAAATAATGAAGGCTGCATCTAGGGCAGAAGAAGCCCAGCAATGCACACGGGATGGGAGAGCCCTGTGAACACTCAACACATCGGTGTAGTGGGATACAGAGGGCAGGCTGTGGTACCTGGGACCCCACCCTCCTGTCTCTTGGCCCTGTGTTGAAGCCCTGGGCAGGTATATGCACAGGTGTGACTCAGCACACTTTCACACACCTGAGGGAGATCCCAGCCACGAGCATCAGAAACTCGTGGGGACAAGCTGTGCATAGTAATGAGAGTCCCGAGGAGAGTCCTATGCGGGAGCAGTGACTAGGACCAAGATCCCTCTCTCTGTGAGCAGAACATAGTTTGGAACTGACCATCTTAACATGTGTCAACGATGCTGTCAGGGCCATCCAATGGAACAGCAGAGATGACTGAGAGGCTGCTCTGTTGCTAGGTGAAGTGTGTCCTCACTGGGGCCCATGGCCCCTGGCTTCCCTGCAGCCAGTCTGTTCAGCAACTGTACTAGTGAAGTGGCCTCCTGTGGCTTTCCGTTTAAATGTGGTTCTGGGTAGAAGAACCATTGGTTAGCAGGTTCAGCACCAGGGCTGCTTACGGGTGACTTCTAAGAGCAGGAGAAAAATAGGAGCTGGGCCACGTCCTGGTTTCAGGTGAACCAGGTCTTAGAGCCCCCTATCTGCCTGCCCTTCGATATCTGTTTTTGCAGTCTGGGTCTGAGGAGCAGGACCCTGACTCCTACCTTGCCTCCCACCAGATCCCACAAAGGAAGGTGCCTGGCACGCCCTCGTAGCTGGAGAAGAAATGGAACAGGGGAGTAACTGTGTCTCCTCGGATAGCTCAGAAGATGCCTGCATTGTGCAGAGATTTCAGCCATGGCCCCCTGTATCCTTCTCATGTGGAAGGAGCGCCAAGATAAACGGCCATGGCTGGACTCAGGTGGTGATCTCCACCTACCCGGCTACTGGAGAACTTCCAGGCTCGATATCGTTCTCCTTCTGAGATGTTCAACCGCAGCCCCAAGCTTGCCTCTGCTGTGGACTACGCTGGCCAGCTGCCTGTGCCTTCCCCTGGTCCCCAGTTTTGTAGCTCTCTTTAGGCATTTAGTTAGATCAATCCTTCAAGCACTGGGGAAAACCATTACAGAGGGTGGGGCTTAGGGCAAACTGACAGTGAAAAGCATGTCTGCCATTCCGTCAAGTCCTGTCAGCCCTGTGGGGAATAGAGGAAAAGGCACAGCTCCACAGGGCCACTGATGGGACCCGAATCTTTGGGGACATTGGCTCAAGCCAAATTGGGGATTGTGGCTTTGATTCAGAAAGAAATTTCAGGACTCGCCATTATGAAGCAGAGTCCAGGTTTAATGAAGACTTAAATATGGACTCAAGGGTGAGCATTAAAGAGAAGCAGGATGCTCAGAAGCAAATACAACACACCTGAGAGCAGAGAGAATCAACGTCGTTTGTTGTGCGATGGCTGTATGTAGGACTTCGGTGGGGTCTGAAGCTGTCGTCAGAAGGGTGGCTAAGGATCTAAATGGAGCACAGGGTGGTTCTTGAGGACCCCTGACAGGATTACAGTTGATAAGGTTAAAGTCTAGACCACAGGGGCACAGGAAGCAGGATATTGTCACTGTAAACAAAAGTAGCACTCCAAGATTCTCAGTAAATGGCTGGGAAGAGGGACCCTTCTCAAGGTCCTAATCCCTACTCTGTTACTTTCGCACAAAGCATCTGTGGACGAGAGGAAGGCTCTTGTTGGGGGCCTTCGCAGCAAATGTTAGTAGTGCTTGGATTCCTACTTCTCATCTGGGAAGGTTTCAGACCCCGGGGCGAGAGTCTCTTTCCCAGTCCTGTGTCCCATGATTTTCTCTATCTTTCCCTGCTTTCTGCTTGTTCTTATGGTAGGAAAATATTGGTCCCAGTGAAGCCATCCAATTCTATTAGGTACAAGAAACTTCACCATCTGAGAGACCCTCAGACGGGCAGTTGTCTCATTTTGTATTTGCATTTTTATAAACATCTTGACATGCATTCTTAGGAGGGAACTCCAAAGCAGCTGTATTTCAAGTTCTGTCGGGCAGTGATGGGGGCGGGTGCTCTTCTGCCCCACAGCTGGCGGGCGTTTCCTTTGGCCCACCTTGCAGCACAACCTCCCTCTCTCCTAGCAAGGGAAGCGCATGCCCACACTCAGCCCTGGAGAATGCCATCCTGCTCGTTTGAGGCCACACAGTGTGTGTTGTCCAGGGCACAACCGTGAGGGAGACAGAAGTCTCATCTAGGAACTGTATCTGAAGGGAATGAAAAGACAGAGTTTTCCTAGAGAGAGTCAGAATAAAATTGCTTGTGACCGGAGTCTTCCCCTAGGCGTTGACAGGTGGCAACACCGGGGGCTCACAGGTGCAGGAAGCTGGCCTGTCCCTCCCTCCTCACTTTAAAGGCAGGCTAAGGATTAACGATGAGGCATCTGATTAGGGAAAGGCATGAGGAACACAGACAGGGCCAGCAATGGAGCCACCAGTCGGAGAGACCGTCCTGGAGATGACTGAATTGTGGAGGGATTAAAGTACATGGGGACCCCCAAACTCTGCCTGGGGAGTGTCTCATCCCAGAGGGTCATGGCCCATGCAGGATCTTTCCCAGGAAGTAGAGTATTAAAAATGGGTCTGGAGTCTCAAGAAAGTTACCACACAATCCAAGTCTTTCCAGGGAAAATGTTTTCGGCTGAAGGATATGTTGCTGTATCAAACGGAGCAGGCAAGCATTATTGTTAGTGCAAAGGGGTCCTGTGTGTCCCTGCGTGCTCAAACGGAGCAGGCAAGCATTACTGTTAGTGCAAAGGGGTCCTGTGTGTCCCTGCGTGCTCAGCACTTGCCCTCACACGCTTGTGTAACAGCACAGCTGCAAGCAAAGAATTTTGATCCGAAAAGAGTGCCGACTGGGAAGGGATTTTTGCATATGGTGTTTGTAGAACAAAATTT